TAAAGCCACTTTGGAAATCAGTATGGTGATTCCTCAAGAAACTGGGAATCAGTCTACCTTAAGATCCAGCAATTCCACTCTTAGGCATATATCCAATGGATGCACATTCATACAACAAGGACATCGTTCAACTATGTTCATAACAGCATTATTTGTAATAGCCAGAATATGGAAGCAAACTAGATGCCCCTCAACTGAAAAATGGATAAAGAAAATGTGATACATTTATACAATGGAGTATTACTCAGTGGAAAAAACAATGGAATCTTGAAATTCACAGGCAAATGGATGTAATTCTTAGAAACCAAACTGAGTGAGGTAACCCAGTCACAAAAAGACAAACATGATGTGTACTCACTCATATATGGATATTAGACATAGAGCAAAGGATTACCAGCCTACAATCCACACCTCCAGAGAAACTAGGAAACAAAGAGGATCCTAAGAGAGACACACATGGTCTCCCAGAGAAGGGGAAAGAGACAAGATCTCCTGAGCAAATTGGGAGCACAGGGGGAGGGGAGAGGAAATTAGGAAAAAGAGAAGGGGAGGAAGAGGAGTGGGGAGGAAGACATGAGCGACCAGGAAGATTGAGTTGGAGGAAGAATAGAGGAGAGAAAGAAAAGAGATCTTTAATAGAGAGAGCAATTATTGGCTTAAAAAATCTGGCACTAGGGAAATGTCCAGAGATATGTAAGGATGACCCCAACTAACAATCTAAGCAACAGGGGAGAGGCTATCTTAAATGCCCTTCTGCTGTAAGATTGATGGCTACCTTATATGCCATCATAGAGCCTTCTTCCAGTAGTTGATGGAAACAGAAACAGAGACAGAGACACACACAGTTTAAGTCCTGAGCCAAATTCCTGGAATCCAGTTGTAGAGAGGGAGAAGTGATGAGAAAAGGGGTCAAGACCATGCTGGGGAAACCCACAGAAACAGCTGACCTAACAACAGGAGCTGCTGGACTCCAGACTGACAGCTTGGAAATCAGCATAGAACGGAAACAGGACCCCTGCAGGTGAGTGTCAGTTAGGAGGCCTGGGCACTCTATGGGGACCCTGTTACTGGAATAGCATTTATACCTAGTGTACGAATGGACACTGGCAGCCCACTCCCCACAGAGGAATACTCTCTCAGCCTAGACACATGGGGAAGGGACTAGATCCTGCCCCAAATGATGTGACAGACTTCCATGATGATTCTCCATGGGAGGCCTCACCCTTTCTATGGAGCAGAAGAGGGATGGGATGGGGGTTGGTGGGAGGCATGGGAGAACAAGAGGGAAAGGGAACTGGGATTGATAAATAAGATTGTTTCTAATTTAAAAAAAGAAAAAAACATACTTGGCAGTCTCAGTAATGTTAGATCAAGCAGAAGAAAAAATGACAGAGCTTGAAGACAAATTATTTGGATTGTTAGTGTCAGAAAGAAATATATATATATATATACATAGGTATATATATGTATATATATGAGAGAGAGGGAGAGGGATGGAGGGAGGAAGGGTGGGAGGGAGGGAGGGATGTAAGGAGAGAGAATGCAAGAGCATTGTGATACCCTTAAAAATAAAATATTCAGATCACTGGCACACATCAAGGATAAGAGTTAAGGTTGGGGGCATGGAAAAACCTCAGTAAAATAGCAGCAGAAATCTCCCCAGATTTTGGGAAAGATGGGAACATCCAGGTACAAGAAGCATTTAGAACCTTAAACACACTTAACTACACAAATATGTCGCCATGACATAGCATAGTTAAATTGTTAAAAGTATAGGATCAAAAGTATATTACAGTCTGCTAGAAAGAAATGTCAAGTAATGTTTAAAGGCAAATATATTAGACTAGTGGCAGATTTCTCAGACAGAACTCTAAATGCCAGGAGGGCATGGACTGATGTATTTCAGAACCTGAATGACAATAACCACCAACCAAGATCGTGGTGCCAAGCAAGGCTGTCCTTCACAAGGGAAAAGTATGCACCTTCTGTGGTAAGGATAGATTAAGGGAACTCATGGCCACTAAACCAAAATTACAAAGAGATGCTTGGGGGAATCCTATACCCAGAAGAGAAGGAATTCAGTAAATACCATCATTAAGAACATGAATGAATCACACTAGAAAAAGAGATAAGCCAATGAGGAGTAAGAAGAAATACTACAAATACTAATACAGTAAACCATGAAATTCAAAAGCAGAGAAAACAAGAATTGACACCTGGAGTTACGGGCCAAGTTTCTACTCAGGAAAGCAGATGGCCTTCATTCTTTTGATTGGCCTATGGAATGAAGCTGTCCATGGTGGTTTGGATAAGAACAGCCCCTAGAGGTTCAAACATTTGAATATTTGGTCTCCTGTTTGGGGAGGATTAGGAGATGTGCCTTGTGTCGCTGACGATGGACTTGAGGTTTCAAAACACTATTCGCCAGGAGATGAATGCCTTCTGCTTGTGGTTTGAGTTCTGAAATCTACTGTTTGTCAGTTACACCTTTACTCTGCAATCATGGACTCTAACCCTCTGAAACTGTAAGCCCAATTAAATGATTTCTTCTTCTTTTGTTTTTTGAGTTTTGAGTTATGTTTTGTACTATTTTTTTTGAGACAGAGTTTCTTTGTGTAGCCTTGGCTGTCCTGGTAGATCAGGCTGGCCTTGAACTCAGTGATTCTCCTGTCTCTGCCTCCTGAGTACTGGGATTAAAGGTGTGGTTACTGCCACCCTGCTAGTTAGTGCTTTCTTAAAAAAAAAAGATGGCTCAGACTATAAGCTGCTTGTCAAGCAAGCAGAAGGACCTGGGTTCAGGTCCTCGGCACTTATGTAAAAAGCCAGGCACCGTGTGAGGTAGACACCCAGCATCAATGTCTGGCATCCATAGGCAAACACAGAAGCATCTGTACACATGCACACACACATTTATACACACATGGCACAAATTACCAACCTGGACTATTAGTGCTTATCCTGGTGGGCATCTTGTCCCTGCCATTTGGTTTTCAGTTATGGAAAAATGTTCAAATGACCACCACTGATTTCACTTGTATAGAGGAATAGAGTAATCAAGGTCACTCAGGGAAGGGGATGTCAGAAAGACAGAAGGGTTGCTGTATATATTCCTGCAGGCTGTTTGTGTGGCCTCAACCGGGCTTAATATTGTATAGAGTACATGGGTCATATAAATGTGCAGCACAGGTGTGAGATAAGAGTGATATACACAACAGTTTATATTGACTGAATGGCTCATACTCACATCTGACCCATGAGAGTAGTTACTGTTGACACCAAAAGGCCATTTTTTAATGTATATTCTATACATGATTCTCAGAGCAGAAAGACAACAGGAAGCTACTTAGGGACAATGAAGTCAGTGCACAAGAGAGAACTTGCTAAGAGTAAGGGAGAAATAGGATTCAGTATCAAAAGCAGCTGTGCCAGTCTCGCCTGCTCCTGGGAAGGCTGGTGTACAGACAGGTGACTAACGGTAAAGCTCTTTGTATCTCAGAATGTCCAGGAATAAAAGGTGTGTGTCATGTTTAAAAACCAACAGTGAAATCTTGCACTGCCAAACCACAGGAAGAATGGCTCAAATGCGACAGGAAGAATTTCACAAGGCACCCAACCACAGCACAGCCAGCCATGACTACAGCAACTAAACCCTGGGGTCCCTGCACTGAACTGCACCTCACCGACATGCTACCAAAGTTCACCTCCTTGTGTTCACTGTGAGTGGGGGAATATATGGAGTGTTATCTGGGACAGTTGTAATCACCTGGAAGATCGCTGAATCTATAATAACTTCAAACCCAAAGATACATAGGGGGAAAAGGAGGCAGTAGTATTGCTTGATTTGAAGAAAAAAATTAAGGAATATAGGATCTTCCTCCAGGAAACCACCTTCCCCGGGGACCTTTGCCTCTGGATCAATGCTTGATGGGAACAATGAGAAAGAAGAGAGATAGCAGGAAGCTTCCACTTCCCAACCTGAACACTTGCCTGACACTGCACAGTGTTTACATTCTTTTCCACATGAAGGACAGGGGCACAGCTCTACACACCATCTGGCCACCTTCCGTCTACCTACCTCCTGATGTACTAGAAACCCATTGGTCCTCTAGCTGGAGAAACTGAAGTTCCTAGGGACACAGCCACTAAGCCTACTCCCTTGCCTTTGGCCTTACTTTTCAGGGTCCATACTCTTTCCAAAGTTCTTTAGGTTACTGTGACATTGAGCTGCTCTGCAATCACATTAGAAAATTAAGTGTCACAAACCTTCAAAGTTATGAAAATCGTATCCCACACATAGCCAATACAAAACTTTAGCTGGGCACCATGGAGCATACCTATATGCTCCTCACTTTGGGGGAGAAAGTAGAATCAGGAGTTCAAGGCCAGCCTACACTACATGAGAAGCTGCCTCAAAAACAAATAAAAACAACAACAAAATAGCCAGGCAATGGTGGCTCACACCTTTAATCCCAGCACTTAGGAGGAAGAGGCAGGCATGTCTCAGTGAGTTCAAGGCCATCTTGCTCTACAAAGCAAGTTCCAGGACATACAGGACTGTTACACACAGAGAAACCCTGTCTTAGAAGAAACAAACAAACAAAATATCAAAATATCGGTGATTGTCTGAAAACAAGACACAACAAGCAAAAGTCACAAAGTTGCCTGAGTCCTTCTCCAACAGGGGTTGGGGGGGCAAGCATGGAGTCTTTTCCAGGACTTTTTACTTTGATTTTACAAAGCATGTTCCAGTAAAATATCTACTTTGTCCATTATAAACCTAAGTACATCCTGTCAGGGCTTATGTTGATGGATATTTTTAATGTCAGGAGAGCAATGGCATAGAAATGATGATTGGGATGGAAGTGGAGAAAAGGGAGAGATGAGTGCCTCCCCCCATACTATCCTTTGACTTCCAATTTCAAGTGAACTACCCAAGCCTTCAATTGTGTAGGCCTTGCTCAGTAGGAAGGTATACCAGAAGTCCCAGCGCAGACACTAACTTTCCGAGTCAGAGGGTGGCAGCTGTCTCCCACTTGGCCCATGGGTGTGCAGATCCTTATGCTCTTAACCCAGATACTGACAGCGCAGCACATGCCTCCTCCACACTGTGAGTCCTTGTCACAAGCCTGCAACGAAATAAAGCAACAGATAAATATAGAGAGTGGGAAAGGCTTGGGCTGGGGGACTCTAAAATTAGCAGGGAAAATCCTCTTTAAATATCCAAATGCTCAGCCAGTAAAGTACTTGCCACACAAACATGAGGGCACGAGTTCAATCCTTAAAACACACAAGAAAAGCCAGACATGGTGGCTTGTTCTAGCAACCTCAGCTCTGGGAAGATGGAGGTAGGTCAATCCTTGGCACTTGATGGCCAACCAGTCTAGCCAAATTGGGGCATTCTAAGCCATGTGAGAAACCTGGTTTCAAAAATTAAGGTGGATAGCACCTGAGGACAACATCTGTCTTCCACACACATGCCCATACTTGCGGGTGAATACCTCATCCAACATGTTTACGTAAATACACATAAAAGTATCCTAATGCAGTGATTTTTTTAAATAAAATAGAATCATAAGCCCCATTTGTCTGTAAAAACCTACAACCAGCATTGATCAGAATGTTCCCATGGACGCTCCTGTACGATGAAATCCAGGATTAAGAAGGAAGAGGGATGGGAGGGGAACATCACTGGGCTCTCTTCTGGTGCTTTATGGCTGAACTTGAAGAATAAGCTTATGCTAGCCCTGCCCTACACATGTCCCTTCAGAGCTACACAAATCACATCACAAATTTTATGACTATTACTTGCATACTATATAGGGACAAGTTTTTTAAAAGGACAGAGATAGTCTCTAAATCTGGCACAAACCACTGCAGACTTGTGAAGGTACCGATGCAGCATTTAGAAGTGCGCTTTTTCCCTTTCGGACATTTACCCTGTGCCTTGTGAGACTGGATGCTTCTTGCATGGGTACCCTGATTTTCACCATTTCCTCTTTCAAAATAAGAGCTCTCCAAGGGTGGAAAAGGACAGACCAAGACTTTGCCCCATCCTACAAGTCTTTCCTGTGAATGACATGCAGAAAGGAACTGACTGGCTTCAGATCCACAGATGTGTACATTAGAAACTAAACATACTAGCCACAAAGGTAGCAAGTGGGGCCAGGCACAGGACAGTACAGATGCAATTAGCAGCAGTAATTCCTCAAAGTACACAACTGACATACACAAACTACAAGTATTTCCAGTCAAAGAATCAATGTGGAGGACTTGCCCGTGAGGCAGTATATAAATGAAGCACAAATATATTTGCGTGAAAATGTATCTTAAGAACTATGGCTCTTTGCTAGAGCCAACAACAACAAAAGGGATGCTTTGTTTTAGCAATGTCTAGTAATCTGTTGTTCAAAGTAAGTAGTGGCTTCAAAACACAACTTTAACTCTGGGTGGTTTTTCTTCCTTTTTTATGGATGATGTTTAAACTTTCCCACCTTTTAATTTTTGTCTGGACACTAGAAATCATGCAATCACAACCATTGTAGTCTTTAAATTACAATCTTCTGTAATATGGTTTTAATACATCTATATGAAGATATAAAGTTCAAAGACTGCACGTGTGTGCGCATATCCCTGTGTATATGTGTGCTTGTGCATGCATGTATGTAATAAAAACTTAAGGTGGGTGTTTCAACCAACATTTTAACAGATGTACAAAACTCTAACTTCTGAAGCCCCAGCAGCTCTTTTTCTAAGACCATAAAAAATGTCAGACACAATCTTTTAAAATTCAATCACTCACTTAGATGCTTATCACCCTGCACACACTATATCTAGATAAATCACTGACTTTTTCATTTGAATCCAGATGGTTTCTGTCAGTGGGACCCAACTACGCTTTATTGCCATGTTGTTTTAGAGAAAAAAATTTCCAATACTCTTTTCATAATATTGAATTAACAACAAAAAGCAAGACTCCACATAACTGTATCACCATCACCCCCCTGAATCTCACCAGCATATAAACATGAAATGAGATAAAATTTCATTTCATAACAAAAAGCTTCGGTTGTTGGAAATTTACAGAGAATTGCATAAGTTTATATCTTTTTAATTAGACAGCTGTTTCCTAGTACCCTTTAATCTTCTTAACCCATTGTAGAGCCGTGCAAACAGTGTCCTCCTGTGAGTGGAACAAAAACGACACTTGCACTGCCCAGGAACCTTGGGGCTTAGAGGATTAGGAAACACTTAGAAGGAACCAGCAGGGGAAGGAGGAAAAAACCCACCCAATCATGTTTCCATTCCCATGTGTTACAAAGACCCTGTAGAAACTTTTGTTCACACACACCAACTGGCTACTGATGAAGCTACATAAGTGGTTTTAAGAATCTCCATTCTAATGGATACCACAAGGCATACAATCAGATATCTATGGGGCATAACTCAATGCTGTCGTGGCCCCGGAGCTTTCAGAATGCAATCTGTACACTAAGAAACGCAGAGACCATCAATCTTGAGTTATTTGCCATGATGACCCTTCTTTGAAATGACATGCTATTTTATCACCTGTATGTCATCATTCCAAACACATCTATATTAAAATCCAATATATTAAAAGTGATTTAAATAAATGAATCCGCTGAAAAAATATGCTAAAGCAAGTTTTTTTTTTCTTTAATGAGTTAAACGCCAACAGCCAGGGTTCTGCTAGGCTATTAAGACAGACTTCCGAAATGCTGTGCCTTGAACTCCTTCTTCAGATAGACAAAATGAAAACTCGGAACTTAATGAAGGCGCTCTCTATGAGTTAAAAAAAAAATGTCTAGTGACAGCCTGCTCCATCGCTGAACCCTAGGAGTGAGGTATCAGGAATCAAACTTGACAATTTATGTAAGGAGAACTTCACGATGAAGAAGGAGGTAAAAAAAGAGTAACAACATAAAAATAAAGAGCAGCTGCCCCAGAACCGGGTGAGAAGAGCCCACAGTTGCTTTCCAAGGCTCACACATGGCCACGACCCAAGGCACTTCACAGGGTAAGAGTCACCCAGAAGCTGTGGAATTTGAGGTGCATGGCTTGCTCTCTTGCAGTTTAAGAAAGGGCGGTCAGATTTGGGATGAAGGTTTCCAGCCCCTGGAAAAGAACTTTCTTACAGGGGAAGAAACTTCTCTGAGCTACTAAATAGAACAGCAGACCAAACCCAAAGAGTACAGGAGGGAGAGGTGGGGAAGAGCTGCTGAGACAGTTTAATTCCACAGTGTGCCTGGCTGTCCCTTGCCTTGTGAGCAGGAGAGGTTCCCAAGTGGCCAAAGGGCGATCCAGGAGAATGTCACACCGGGCACACCCTTCCCGGTGCCTACACACCCCAGGCCTGGTGTCCCCGGGCGATCAGGGTGCGACAGGTGCTCAGACAGCTTACCCCGGTGATGACCGCAGCATCCCCGGCGGGCGGCGTGAGTAGCGGCTGTAGCAGCAGAAGTAGCAGCAGTGGGGCACAGCGCGGGCCCCCCATGGCGCCCTGGGGACACGGTGACGGTTGGGGCACGAGATCAGGGACGTTTGGGACGCGTGGCCGGGTTGCTCTGCCGAGCCGCGAGCCTGACGGCAGTTATAAAGGCGAGCCCCGCGGTGACTCACGCCCGGCAGCACGCGGGGGGCACGGCGCGGGCACACACCCCGCGCCCCACGCGCACACGCGCACGTGCCCGGAGCCCCACGCGCACAGGCGCCACGCGGGCAGAGCCCCCCGCGGGGCGCCGCAGCCCTAGCCAGCCTTCCTGTTGCTTTTGTAGTCTCAGAAAACCTCCTCCTTCGCTGTCCTGCTTTCCAGAGTTCCACGTGCTCAGCCCCCACATTCTCAGAGGCACATCATTTGCTATACAGATGTGCAGAGGGTACCCACGACGTGCCGGGCGCGTCGGACACAACTGCCCTGTATTTGTACACATTTGTTCAGCATGTCTGCAGTGAGCGCTCCATGTGTGCCAGGTACTGTCACTGGCTCTGTCCTGCAGCGGCACAACTTAAAAAAACAACAAACAAACAAACAAAAAACAAAGGGGGAAGCCTGTTTAATAGAGAGGAAGAACAAAGCACCAGGCACACCCCAATCTCACATCCCTAGAGAAGTGGAGGGCCTTGGCTGCCCCGCCAGCTGTGGGAGCCTCATTTACGTTTTTGAAATGACTTCCCCTGGTGCCCACATCTGTTCCTGACCCTCTCTGCCCTGATTTCCCTCACGTGCGTGCGTTCCCTCCCCTCTTCAGCTTCCAGCCAGCTTCAAGCAGAACAGGATGCTGCCAAGGGGAAAAAGAAAACTCCCGGCAGCTCGTTCTGCCAGCCTGAGGCCCTGGGAAGGCATCTCTCTCCCAGTTCTCTTCTCCAACCCAGGGAACTTCAGGTCTTATACATGATGCCTTGGTTCAGGTCAGTTACTATTGCGTGCTGCTGGACTCTTTGCCATGAGACAAGACAACTGTCGCTCTCAGTGTCCCTAGTGTGGCTCCAATAATCTCATCTTACTTGCTTCTACAAGGATGATCAAATTGACTTGTTTTAGATGGGCAGTGGTGGCACACCACCCAGTCCTCAAGAAGCAGAGGCAGGCAGATCTCTATGGGTTCAAGGCCTGACTGGTCTACAAAAACGAGTTCCAGGACAGCGAGGACTGTTACACAGAGAAACTCTGTTTAAAAAAAAAAAAGGAAGGACTTGTTCTGAGGTTTGGGGGGAGCTTACCTTACTCCTAGAAGATTTGGGACCTCAGACTTTCCCATGTCCCTTAGGACCACAGACTGCTGAAAGGCAGATGGGCCTTTTCAGCCTCTTTAATCAATACAGTAAGGAGAGCTGGGCCAGTTACTTTCAGACTGTGGACTCCCTCATGCCAAAGCATTCAGACAAAATGTAGAGGGGGAAAAAACCGAACAAAGGGCCCGGGAATTATTTGAATGTTAAACAGCTGGTATTTCAAACCCCAGATCTTTGGCTGAGTTTTAAAGCCTTTTGTACCCATGTTTTCGAGTTCAAGAGGCATCCTGAAACCAAAAACACAAACGGGATCAAACTCATTTTTAACTTTGAGAAAACTGTTAAAAGTGGATTCACAGTAAAATAAGTGGAAACAGTAGCAAGTGACAGACTAGTGGAAAGTTTCCTTTTCCAGTCTCCATGCCAACCAAGGCATGGGAGTGCAGCCCGGGGAAATGTAAAAACCAGTCAACATGGACTTTAACATTCCTGCCACTTTTTTTCTTAAATGGCCAATTTCATATTTGGTACTATCCAATGCCAACTGGGTATTCCCTGCTTCTCCGAGCATAAAAATCAGGCCATGTCTACACAGGGTAATACCAGCCTTCCATTGTGACTGGCTTCTTACAGGGCTGTTTGCAAAAATCATCTTCTGTGACTGTTAAATCAAGGTTGGAAATACTTCAAAATATGGTTGGTTTGGGGCTCTTGTTTTCCTGTGCTGAGTTTGGAACCAAGGCGTGAATACTCTGGACAGGTCTCTACCACTAGGCTATACTCTTTGGAGACCTTTTAATGGTTTAAATACTTGTGAGAAGAAATGAAAACTCTTAACACAACTTCTTCCGACCCACAGGCAAGTTATCAGATCAAGTCTGCTTACAGTTCTTAGAAATGGAAGGATGCACTTTGGATTAACTCCCAAAAATAAGGTTGTGATGGAGCAACAATAAAATTGAAGTTCTATTTTGTTACTGCAATCTGTTGGTGTGATCAGTCATATGGTCAAATTAGCCAGGAGTGACTGCTGGATGAGGTCTAAAACTTATGGGTTTAGAGTGTAGACTGGCAGCCTAGCAGGCCACCATTTCTTGACTGATTTGACAGTGTGATACAAGAGTGTCCAAAGAACTCCTTGTTTGAGAGTTAGAGTGATCTGGATTGGAGCCTTTTCTAGCAACTAGACTTCAACCCCTTAAAGTCTGTTTTGTTTACTATGAAGTAAGTATAACATACCAACTTCCTGGGGTCTGGCCACTATGGAGCTCAAAGGGAGCATCTGTAAAGTGCTATGCACCAAGTCTGGAATAGACTGGGAGGCATGCAAAGGTAACCTCTCATTAAATCTTACAGTGTGCTCTCTCTTGGTAGATTCATTGAACGTGGATACAGCTCTTTTCTGCCCTGCCCACATAATTAGATCACATACACTTGCTGGCTAGGAGCCCACTTTCTTGAAAATCCTTCTTGCACATGGCATTAGCCGATACTGGAAAAAAGGGTTGATGAGCAACAGGAGTATATCCTGTGATCAGGGACAGAGATGGCTTACAAGCAAACGGTGCGCAGTGCAGATGCATCTAGTCTGTATGGACCATGAATGCAGTCAGCAAGAGCTGAGAGGGAAAGGGACCTGGGACATGGGACCGGAATGGGGTGACCCTGAAGAAGTATACTGTCTTACAGCTGTCACACATCTGACCTACCACAGTCGCTCTGGGCTCTCAGCTGAGGGAAACTTTGTTTGCACTGATTTATGGTTTCCAGTCTGGGGTTACAGTAAGTATCACCTAGAAAGTTATGTTGAAATTCTAGACCTGTGACTTTATTTGGAAGTAGGGTGTTTGCAGATACAACCAACCATACTTGAAGTAATATGAGATGGGAGTGAGTCCTAAATGCAAGGACTGATACCTGTGTTAAAAAAAAGTGGTGTGTGTGCACATGTGCATGCACTCACATTTGCTATGTGTGGGCCCATGTGCACACAGCATGTGTGCAGGTCAGAAGACAACCTTGGCTGCCAACACCAGGTGGCTTCTACGTTTTGTTTGGGACAGGGTCCCTGACTAGACTGGAGCTTTTCCACATAGGTCAGGTTAGCTGGCCTGTGAGCCTCTCAGACTCTGCCTCAGCCTCCCATTTTACCACTGTTGGGATTACAGACTCACCACAGCTGGTTTTTTTACATGGATTCTGGAAAACGACATCAGAGCATCATGCTTGTGAGGCAAGCACTTTGCTGACTGTGCTATCTCCCTGGCATTTTATACTAGGAAGGAGATATTGGACATAGAGACTGATGTACACATCTGTCAACCCTGCTGCCTGATAGCCCACTTCCAGAACCCCAAAGAGTCAGGAAGAGCATCTTCCCAGAAGGTTTCACAAAAGAAGGCCCTGTTGACACCTTGATTCTGAACTTCTAACCTCCAGAACTGAAAGAAAATAACTTCTGTTGTATGAAGACACCCAGCTCTGCTCACTTCTCCCAGGACCTCTGAGAAACTAACAGGGTGGGTGGGGCAGGATGGTTGCACATCAGCTTTCTTCTGCCTCTGCCTGGAACTCAAGCCTGACCCTGTGGTGACTGAAACAGGTCACATGACAGTTCACCTTGCTAAGAACAGCAGTGCCAATGAGGTTTGTGCTGAGATCCAGAAACCTGGTGAACAGTTCCAGAGTCTACAGGAAAGGGTCCATTGGTGGCTTGGAGCCGTTAATGAGTTCAGTGCACTTTGACTGATCCTAGTAATTCCCACTACAAAAGATAATGGGTTTCTGTACATATATTTTTCATGTTCAGCCCTTTAAGTGACACAGTGTGAAAGAGTACAAATGTGCAAGCTGGGAGGGTTTTGTTTTAAGTGGGTAGTAAACCATCCTTCATTCAACTCACTCAACAGGTACTTACTAAGCACTAACTATAGACTAAGTATTGAGTAAAGCGCTTGGTGACAGAATTATGTCATCCTGAGAGCAGTCATCAACCCATCTCCTGCCGGGAGAGAAGCGCAGAAACCTTGCTGGCAGTCAAGAGAAGGAGGTGCAGGGATGTAGTGAGCAGGAAGGAATGAGGAAACTCAAGATTACCGTGTGAACTGGCTGACAGGAAGGAGGCGGGCGCTCACATGGGTGTGGACAAAGGCAGTCAGACGGGCAGGGTGAGGGGAGCGGCTGTGTTAAAAACAGAAACCGCTAACCAGAGCTTTGTTGGACTTTAAAAATCCCCATTCCATATAATGCAGCTGCAATGACTAAGATTTAGGTAGAAAACTTGGAAAAATGATCTTTTATTTATTTTTTGATGTTGTTGTTGTTATTGTTGTTGTGTGTGTGTGTGTGTGTTTAAGTGTTTAAGTGTTACCAGAACCCAGCCATGCCAGTCTCTGCATTGCCTGTGGCTGCTTTTTACTGAGTACTTGTGAGACCACATGACCTGAAAAGCCAAATAATATTTCCTCTGTACTCGTGAGAGAAAACTTGCCAACCTCTGGTTTTGTGTGTGTGTGGAGGGGATGTTGGGGACACACCTGTGTGTACCTGTGCGTGTGGAGGCCAGAGGACAGCCTCAACTGTCATCCTTCAGGCACCTTCCACCTAGTTTTGGGGGACAGGGTTTCTCACTAGGCCTGGAACTCACCATGTAAGCTAGGCTGGCTGGCCAATGAGTCCCAGAGATCTGCCTGTGCTGGGACGCCATGTGCATACACTGGGATGGTATGTGCCTACAGCCCACCAGTCTGGCTTTACTTTACATGGGTTCCAGTGAGCAAACTCAGCTCACTGTGCTACGAATGAGCCATTTCCCCATCTCTGCTGCCTCTGGGTTTATGTGTTAAGGAAGAGCCTAGAGGG